GGTCTGTTCTCATTTTCTTGCAAGTGATCGACCGTTTGCTTACTTTTTTTTTGGGGGTCTTTGTGATAGCACCCAGAGAGCTGCTTTTTGAAGTGTTGCACCCTGCCTAGAGCCTTCTGCAGCAGCGTGTCCTGCTGGGCCCGTGGCAGTTCTGATCTGTTGCGTTCAGATGGTGAGACTTTCAGGGGCAGTCTGAAAACACAGGTTTCTTCTCCTGCCCTGGAACTTGTGTAGCTACAGGGATGGACAGAAACTCAGACCTGTCAGCTGATGTGTGGTGGCATTTTATGGGCAGTAGATTACAGCGAGGGACAACAATCAAGTTGCCAAACCACTTTTTCTAAAAATAGTACGGCCTGTGTGCCCCCATACCAGATGCTGTAATGTGCTTGTCAAGCTATGGGTGAGTCATGTTCACCTTCCAGTATTGGGTGAGAGCCCATCACACTCCTCAGCAGTTCAGGGCTCATGGCAGCATCACCACAGGGGTCTCCAAAGTGCTTTTTGTAGCATCTCATGGATGATGAGATGCCTGGCTCAGATATATGCCTGGGAAGAAGGGAGATGGCAATGCAGGAGCAGGAAGCAGCTAGAGGAGTCTTTCTTCCCCATCATGCCAGGTGACCTGTGGATAGACATATAAACCAGAGAATATTACTGGTTTGAATGGCAGAAGGGTTCTTGCCTCCTTCGTTTTGCTCTGAAACATGTTCCCAGGTTGGCCACATGCCCCCTCTTTGATGGAACTCAAGTCCTGCAGCTGCTGCCATCATTTGCGTTGGCGGTGGGTTGAAGGAGATACAGGCAGGAGCAGGTGCTTCCTTCTTCTCAGGAAGGACTCAGACCAAGAATCTTGGGTGTGTTTGCCTGGGAGATGGAGCAGAATCTCTGAGTGCCAAACCTCTGTGCTTGACCTGGTCTGACCGAGTCGCTGCTCTGCTGCTTTGTGGGCACACGCCACGAAGGAAGGTGGTGACCTGTGCTGCCAAGACCTCCGTTTTAGGATTGGAGTGGTTTTTGTAGGATTTGGGTTCACTGGCTGACTGGGAAGGAAAGGCCCGAGGTGTTTTTTGCCCACAGCATGAGCGTGTGTGTGAATGTGAGTGCCTTTGTGCGTGGGATACAGAACCCAGCAGGAAAAAAACGAAATTATGCATACAGCAGAGTCCAGGTGTAACGCACGGTTTGTTGTAGGAATGATTTCTTGGCTTTGACATCGGACACACGCATCTCCTTTGAGGACCTCAAGCAAGCTTGCAATGTGCTGCCCTTCCTAAACAACGATTCTCAGCCTGGCCAAGGTGCTGGGAATGCTGAGTGGGAGAAAAACCAAACAGGGATTAGTCGCTACCAGGGATAATGAGGCATTTTTCTAACACCAGTAATATTTCTGTTTGCAGGGGAACTCCGACACATTACCAAGCTGAAACCTTGGAGTCTTTTTGATGTGCTTGTGGAGAAGTATGGTTGGCCTCACGAAGATGCTGCACAGTTTACAGATTTCCTGATCCCCATGCTAGAAATGGTCCCAGAAAAACGTGCTTCAGCTGGAGAATGCCTTAGGCATCCGTGGCTGAATTCTTAGCAGAATCTCCCAGCTGTTAAAAAAAAAAAAAAAGCCAGCATCCACTTTCCAATGCATCGGACCTAAATGGTGACTGTCACAAATTCTTTAGCAGGATCACACGTGAGCTGGCTTCAATCCTCAGACCTTTATTTTGCTTGAGGTACTGTTTGACATTTTGCTTTTCGTGCACTGTGTTCTTGGGGAAGGGTAGTCTTTTTGTCTTCAGCTAGTAGTTTACTCACCCACTTTCTTCAGAAAACACGTAACGTGTCTTTAAGCATTGTTTCTTGTGTTGTGTGGCATTCAGATGTCAGGTTTTTGAACAAAGGAAACTTCCCCCCCATGTGTTTTGGCAAGTTTTGTAACTATTTATGAAAAAAAAAATATTTTAGCTGATGCATATTATATAATTTACGAGCGTTAAGAAATTTATCAAGTCGGAGCAGAGTGAGGAATTGTACAATTTTATCTTCTGGCAAAGGGACGTCATTCTTGTATTATAGTCTATGTAAATGCACCCTGTAAATGTTTATTTCCATTTAAATATGGGACTGGGGACTCCATTCCAGAGTAAAGCAACTCAGTTTTAGAGAGCTTTATGGCAAACCAATTGCATGTAGTGGACTTCGAACTGCTTCAAGGAATGGTGTGAACTTTCTATTCTGTAGCAGTTCCCGTTCATTGGATTTTAAACAAAGTGGCTCTGGTTTACAGGATTTCATTCCCCAAACGGCACTTTAAAGGAAGGCGAGACTTCTTTCGAATAAAGTATGCATTATCATTTAGCACTCCCTTTTAGAACTTTTGCCTATTTTAAGTGCTTTTAAGAAAAGAAAGATAGCAATTTCCCTTACAATGTGATAGTGAAGACATGGTACCATATGGTGTTGCCTTTTTATAATAAGCACTGTAAGTTGTACTATACCTTAAGAAAGAAAAAAATTAAAAGCCGAGCATGAGTTGAACCACTCTCTGTGTAGAATTACTGATCTTTTATAACAAAAGCGTGTGCTTGGAGTCAGTTGAGGAAGGATACAGCTGCAGTGGGTAAAATAATCCGAGCAGCCAGGTCATGCTTATTCCATTCATAGCTTTACAGGTTTCCAAACCAAATTGCACTAGCTTTATTTTTCCCCATCACTAGACATACCATTACCTGTTGTGAGTAAGTTGCACGCAACAGTGACGTTTCCTAGGAAAATAAAAAAAAAAAAAGCTGCATAGGCTGAAGCTTATAGGCAATACAGATGTTAGAATGTACAGTACAGAGGTGTGTTTTGCCTCTTTTAGAAGTCAGTGGGATGAATGTAAGTTTACTTCCGATCTTCATGTGACGACGGTGCCACTTTTTCTTGACTTTGTCCATATGAAACTTATCCACATGCCTTTGCAATAACTAGATTGTGAGAAGATAGCCCCATGCTGTAACAATAACCAGTTGTTTGAGGTGCTTGCAGTTGTCTAATTAAAGTGTTTTGTTTTTTCAGACAGTGTGCTGGTCATTGGAATCTTTGCTAGCCGTGACTCCAACCCTTTGTTCGCTGGAGGTCCGTGGCACGGTGGGGGGTTAAGGGGAGGGAAGTGTTTTAGCCTGGCCAAAGGGAAAAGCAGCTTTCTGCGTCCATGTGTAAAATATGTCACCTGGTGTGTGTTGGAGCCGCCTGGAGGGTATTCGTGGCACGAGGGCCTTTGTGTAAGTACGTGGTTGCTTGGTGAAACGTGACAAAACCCGGAAAGTGTTTATTTTGTACGAGGCATCCAACTACTGTAAACAAGCAAACGGTTACCTGGTCCCCAGTACGCCGGTGCAGCCGCTCATCCAAAGAAACTGCAAAGCCACCCCAGAGCGCGGCACACACGCAGGGGTCGGGAGAAACTTGCCCAGGTGCTGAGGCCCTGAGCAGTTGGGCTTCAGGACCAAGTGCCTTCAGCCTCCGCTCCCCACGTATTTCACACCGGAACTGCTTTTAATGGCCACAGGGATGACACCAGTGAGGAGGAGGAGGATGCTGCAATGGACTGCAGAGCTAGAGGTAAAAGTTACGCGTGGCTTCATCCCCGGGCTACCCCCTGGTAGTGCCTAGTCACTGCAGCTCAGTAGGAGCTTGTTCTTGGATACACAGAAAGTATCAGCGTTTGGCTGAAGTGCCAGTTCAGCTGGAAACCACGCAAGGTGCCTGTGTCACCTGTGCCCTTTGCTTGGCCATGGAGACACAATAGAACTTGGGGAACCTTGTGTGGTGCTAGTCCTGTTCTGCAGCCCGCTGTGTCAGCTCCTGCTGCTGCTAGGAGACCTGGCCACGTACAGCAAGTACCTTACATAGTCTTGTATTTGAGACGATGTTATAACCTACAACCAGATTTGAACTTCAAGCTATAGAGGATGATGCAGGTTTTTTTTAAAATCAGTGTCTGTAGAACAGGGTGGGGTCAGTTTTGCTGCTGCTGGCCTAAATCCTGTTCTAGTGCATGCTGGTACAAAACACAGCATATTCCATGCAGTGTGTTTGGCAGAGCCAGCAGTTGTTCAGGATAGCATTGCCAGTGTACTGTTGTTACAAGGAAAATTTTTCAGTAATTACAGGCAAATTACACTTTAAATTAGCCCCAATTCTCTTAAAAAGAATTACCTTTTTTCAGCAAGTAGGAACAGCCACTGCCCATCCTTTCTCCTGCCATTTCAGATTTTCTTGCACACTGGTTTCCTTCTCTGGTTCTGAGGAAAAGCCATAAAGCAGAGTCCTGTTATTTGAGCAGAACTTAAAGCCATCACCACTGATGTGCAAGGACATGTCACACACTAATTAAGAGTAACACTGCACCTCACAGTGTAACAACAGCACCATCTCAGCTGCTGTTCTTCAGCAGCAGGAA